CATCAAGCTGGTCAGGGCTGGCCATTGCTGCTGTTCCCTCATCAGCAGGGCTGGACATTGCCACTGTCCCCTCATCAAGCTGATCAGGGCTGGACATGGCTGCTGTCCCATTTTCAGCATCTGCAGGGCTCGACATTGCTGCTGTTCCCTCATCTGGCTGTTCAAGACTGGACATTGCAGCAGTTCCCTCATCAGCAGGGCTGGACATTGCAGCAGTTCCCTCATCAGCATCTGCAGGGCTGGACATTGCTGCTGTCCCCTCTTCAGCAGGGCTGGACATTGCTGCTGTCCCCTCATCAATAGGACTGGACATGGCTGCTGTCCCATCAACAATATCAGCAGGACTGGACATTGCTGCTGTCCCCTCTTCAGCAGGGCTGGACATTGCTGCTGTCCCCTCATCAATAGGACTGGACATGGCTGCTGTCCCATCAACAATATCAGCAGGACTGGACATTGCTGCTGTTCCCTCATCAGCAGGACTGGACATTGCTGCTGTTCCCTCATCAGCAGGGCTGGCCATGGCTGCTGTCCCTTCATCAGGCTGTTCAGTACAGCATCTAGCTGCTGTTCCCTTCTCCTGGCCGAGGCTTTGCTGTTCCTCTGTCCCAATGCTGGAGCGATGAATCTCTGCCACGACGAGAATCTCACGCTCCCCGTGCAGAACTCCGCCCTGCGGCTGGTCTGTGTCGTCGTCCTCCTCCTCGTGAGCGAGCGGAGCACGAACAATCCCGTCCACGGGCACCGTCACTGGGGACAGCGGCTGGCAGAGGGCGTGGCTCGCCGTGACGACGACCTTGACGGCCTCGCTGTCCCCGTCCTGGCTGTTCCTGTCCAGCTCTGAGGCCTCGATGTTGTTGGCTTCGTGCTCGAGGCTGTCGAACTCCCGTGTGATCTCCAGGTTCTCCTTGTCCTCCTCCGTGGGGGTGGCTGCAGGAGAAACACTGTCCTTATCCGACTGCTGCAAGTCTTCAGATTCATCCTCATCGTCATCTATGTCCACGTACTCCTCCTTCTTTGCAAACCGCACGGATTTGCTGGCTTTGGGCGGCGCTCGTGAGGTTGTGTTGGCACCAGGCTGCTGCCGAGAGCTTGTGTTGGGCTGCTGGCGTGAGTTGTTAGGCGGCTGGCGGAGTGACAGGAACGTGGTGGTGTGGGTCTCCTCTCCGTCATCGTCGATGAACTTGATGTCCTCTCGGGTCATGCGGGTGGTGAGCTGCTGTTCGTCTCGGGTTGCCATGCGGGTTGCCGTGGTGATGTGCGTTGCCGTGGTGATCTGGTCGCTCTGCATCTCCTCGCGAGACAGGCGGGCCGCCGTGCTGATGACGTCACCGCGGACGACTGGCTCGTAGGGAGACGACTCGTGTCTGCGGGAGGGAAACATCATCAGACATGTGGGAAACAGAAGCAATGATATGCAGGTGTGATTCCTGTAAATGTACTACACTATTTTCAGCATGTGATGTCAACTTATTATCCTGCATTACCCAAAAGTTCTGCTCAAATGGTCAAAATCACCACAAATACAACCAAAATTCTAATCTGTACAAAGGATCATGAGTAATACATGCAAGCACAAACAGGACTGTAAAATTCCATTATAGCGGGAGTAACTAGCCAGGTTTATGGACTATCCAGAACCCTGCCTGAGTGTGTGGTTCTGGATGAAGCCCGGTTCAGGACAGGTGCTTGGGAAGTGAGAAGAGCCGCACCTCTCTACCTGGGCAGGAGGCACATGGACTATCCAGAACCTTGCCTGAGCATGGTTCTGGATAAAGCACAGTACTAGATACATGACATGTGGACTATCCAGAATTGCGCCTGAATCTGGATGCAGCCTGGTTCTGGAAAGTCCAAACAGGACAGGTGATGGGGAAGTGAGAATGGCTGCACCTCTCTACCTGGGCAGGGACTATCCAGAACCATGCCTGAATCTGGATAAAGCACGGTTCTGGATACACATGGAATATCCAGAACTGTGCCTGAATCTGGATGAAGCATGGTTCTGGATGAGGCCCGGATGGTTCTGGATGGGGAAGTGAGAATGGTTCTGGATGGGGAAGTGAGAATGGCTGCACCTCTCTACCTGGGCAGGATGCGCACGGCCCCGGCACTCTCCAGGGAAAAGTCGTACATCCCGTTGATGTAAGTCGACTCCGAGTCGGGACCTTCTGGGTCTTTCCTGGGCAGACACAAGGGGGAACAGTCAGGAAAAAAGAGAGCTGCAGCCAACTGTTCAATACTAGTCACCTACAAAGACTGTCAAAAAGAACGGGTTTGACATATTTGATCAGGAACAGTTGTTTTATGCGACGAACAGAAACTGAACATCTTACCAACATCTTTTAAAAGAACAATTTAATATTTCCACTCACCTGATGGTGTTGGCCTGGAATCGGAAGGATGTGACCGTCTCATACACAGGGAAGTCTCGGAACCCGTGGGTCGAGTCTTCTTCCTTGTCATGTGGGGTAGAGTTGCCGTTCACCGTGTCGCCTTCGTGTGATTGGTCATCTGTGTGGCCGTTATGGACTATGTTGCCGTTTATGGTGTCTGAGCTTTTAGCATCCACAATCGCGTTGCTTCGTGCTTCTTCCATCTTCTTTGCCTCCTCTTCCTGCTCTTCCTCCCGCTGACCAGTCCTCATCTCTTCCTCCTCCTCCTCCTCCCTATTCCCTATCTCCAGCGCAGAGTACAGGTCGTCCACAGGCGTGACTCGGTAGATGCCTTCTGGAGGCCCGTCAGAATCATCTGTGTCTGTCCCAGTGCTGTCCTGCTGTGGGTCAGTGCTGTCCTGGTGCGGGTCAGTGCTGTCCTGGTGCGGGTCAGTGCTGTCCTGGTGCGGGTCAGTGCTGTCCTGGTGTGGGTCAGTGCTGTCCTGGTGTGGGTCAGTGCTGTCCTGGTGTGGGTCAGTGCTGTTCTGGTGTGGGTCAGTGCTGTCATGGTGTGGGTCAGTGCTGTCATGGTGTGGGTCAGTGCTGTCATGGTGTGGGTCAGTGCTGTCATGGTGTGGGTCAGTGCTATCCTGGGATGGGTGGATGGTGTCCTGGCAGGACATATCTGAGCTGCCTTGGTTCAGTGACTGGGTTTCAAGATGGAGCTGTTCAGTGCTGTCCAGTTCGGGGTGGTCTTTGGTGTTGTCAGGACAGGGCTGGTCTTTGGTGCTGATCTGTACACTGCTGCTAGAAACCGACTCCATGACTAGATTCTGCTCATCTGCAGTTTCCTCTGGATTCTGGCCATCTGCAGCTTCCTGTAGATTCTGTTCATCTGCAGATTCCTCAGTTTCCTGCTGACTGTCCAAGGATTTCTCACAAACAGAGAAGCTGACGTTCACCACATGTCTGTACTCCTCGCTGTCCTGTCTGTACTCCTCGCTGTCCTGTCTGTACTCCTCGCTGTCCTGCTGTGCATCTCCATCCTTCCTGCAGTCTGCTGCCGGGTCTGCTGTAGAGTCCAGGAGCTGCTGGACTTGATCTGCGTGGATCTCTGCCATCACTTCTGCCATGTTCGATGTTCTCGCTTCTTCATCACCTTCAGACTTTCTTGAAATTCGAATCTCTTCAAACATTTCTGTTTCGGTGTAGCCACAGATCTCGTCCTCCAGCTTGAAGGTGACATGTTTGGTCTCCCCTGAGCCTCTGCTTCTGCCCTCAACCAGGCAGCTGTCCCGACCTTCAGCCATGGAACTGCTACGACCTTCAGCCATGGAACTGCTTTGACCCTCAGCCATGGAGCTGTCCTGACCTTCAGCCTTCAAGCTGTCCTGACCTTCAGCCATGGAGCTGTCCTGACCTTCAGCCTTGGAGCTGTCCTGACCTTCAGCCATGGAGCTGTCCTGACCTTCAGCCATGGAGCTGTTCTGACCTTCAGGCTTGAAAATGTCCTGACCTTCAGGCTTGGAGCTGTAACTTTCAGCTATGGTGCTGTCCCGACCTTCAGCCATGGAGCTGTCCTGATCCTCAGCCATGGAGCTGCTTTGACCTTCAGCCATGGAGCTGCTTTGACCTTCAGCCATGGAGCTGTCCTGACCTTCAGGCTTGAAGCTGTCCTGACCTTCAGGCTTGAAGCTGTCCTGACCTTCAGGCTTGAAGCTGTCCTGACCTTCAGGCTTGAAGCTGTCCTGACCTTCAGCCATGGAGTTGTCCTGACCTTCAGGCTTGAAGATGTCCCGACCTTCAGCCATGGAGCTGTCCTGACCTTCAGCCATGGAGCTGTCCCGACCTTCAGCCATGGTGCTGTCCCGACCATCAGCCGTGGAGCTGCCTTGTTCTGGTTTCTTGTTTTCAGGTTTGGAGGCAGTTCTCGTGTCAGCAGGACCAGGGAAAACACCTGCTGGTGCATCAGGTGACCTGTCTTCCACGATGGCATCCAGGAGGGGTTCTGGTTGGACAAACTCTTTAGGTGCTGCATCCACTTCTGACCTGGCCTGCAGGGGGTCTGTTGTCGTAGTGATGACCTCTGCCCTGCCCTGCAGGGGGTCTGCTGCCATGGCAATGACCTCTGCCCTCCCCTGTGCAGCAGTGACCTCCACCATGGCTCCCTCTGCAGTGCACATGATGGGCGGCCTGCGCTTGATGGTGCCGGAGGTTTCAGATGTCCAGTAGTCGAGAACCGTTTCGGAGTCGTTCGGGGATGGAGACCTGTCCTCCTCTGGAGGCATGGGGATGTACTCCACCGTCCCCGGGTGGGGAACGAACTCCGGAGCGCCGGGGTTCAGAACAAACTCGTCCACAGTGGAGTCGCTGGTCAGGACCTGGTGGGCCGTGTAGGTGGGCAGCACCTTCTCTCCGCTGCAGCTCACTTTGTCTCTGCCAGGGGGAGCCGCTGCAGTGCAGTTCACCTTCTCTCCACCAGGTGGCTGATGTGCAGTTTATGTTGTCTCTGCCAGGGGGCGCTGCAGTGCAGTTAAGCCTCTCTCCACCGGGGGGCGCTGTAGTGTGAGGCTGGAACTCCCGAGCCTCAGGATTGAGATATGAGCCGGGAACATCGGCGACAACGTCAGGCACGGCCCCGAGTTTGGGCACAAACTCGTCCGCTGTGGGGTTCAGGCTGCCAGGCGAGCCGTCCGCTTCTGTCTGTTGACGCTCCACGGATAGAGGCTCCACAGCCCGAGGCTCGACAGCCCGAGGTTCCACAGCCCGAGGTTCCACAGCCCTGGGCTCCCCCCTCAGGAAGGTCTGTCCGGACTCGATCCCTTCGTTGGCTTCGTTCTGCACCACCTCCTCTGGGGGAGACATGACATCCAGCTGGGCGAGGGACACGTCCGGCACCAGCTGGGCCTCCCGACCAACCGACGGGCTCTCAATCACAACCATGTCCCTGCCTGGGCCTGCAGTACCCTCCAGCACCACCAGGGGTCTCTGCATGTCCCTGCCCGGGCCTGCAGTACCCTCCAGCACCACCAGGGGTCTCTGCTGTGCCGATGTCCGCTCGATGACCACCATGTCCTCGTGGATCTGGGAAGCGGACACGGCTTCGCTGGGCCGGCAGGAGAACACGTGCGCGGGACGTCCCGCCGCCTCCGCCGTGAAGCGCGCCTCGGTGAAGTGTGCGTGCGGGTCGACCGTGTCGCTGGGTTCCGGGAGAGATTCCTCGATGGCGGTCTCCGGGACGAACTCGCTGACTCCCGGCAGGTTGGTGAACATCGGGAGGGGGGACTCCGGCGACATCAGTTCCGCTACCTGGAATCAAAAACTCTCCAGTTAACTCATGGTCAGTAAACTTCTGTGAAATTCTTGTGAATGTAAATTGTACTGCATAACGTTTGTATTTTACAATGTATGTAAGAGGACTCCAGGAAGAGTAGTGGTCTTGTTATCACTAACTGGAGGTTCCTTAAATAACATCAAATCAAATTTTATTTCAAATTGATAAGGCTCTCGCAGGCAGACACCTGAATTTCGTCCTTATAACATACATGTAGGACGCATAAAACAACGATTTGTTACTCTTCCCGGAACATGGCAAGCTCACTATTAAAACAATGACTACACAATTAAAAAACAAACCTGATCAAACTCAGCGTCAGGACTGCAGTCAGACTCCTGCCCGGATACGTCGGAACGGCGACGTAAGTCCTCCACCCCCGTCCCACAAACAAACAAACAAACAAACCCGGTCAAACTCAGCGTCAGACTCCTGCCCTGACACGTCGGACAGATGCTCGGCCAGTAAGTCCTCCACCCCCGTCCCACAAACAAACAAACAAACAAACAAACCTGGTCAAACTCAGCGTCAGACTCCTGCCCTGACACGTCAGACAGATGCTCGGCGAGTAAGTCCTCCACCCCCGTCCCACAAACAAACCTGGTCAAACTCAGCGTCAGACTCCTGCCCTGACACGTCAGACAGATGCTCGGCGAGTAAGTCCTCCACCCCCGTCCCACAAACAAACAAACAAACAAACCTGGTCAAACTCAGCGTCAGACTCCTGCCCGGACACGTCGGACAGATGCTCAGCCAGCAGGTCCTCCACCCCCATTCCACAAACAAACAAACAAACAAACCTGGTCAAACTCAGCGTCAGACTCCTGCCCGGACACGTCGGACAGATGTTCAGCCAGCAGGTCCTCCACGCCCGTCCCACACTCCGGCTCCTCGCGTTTCTCCAGCAGCATCGGCGGCCGGCCGCGCGGGAACGACACGTTCAGCCCGTGCAGCTCCCGCGGGATGTCCGCCGCAGACACGAACACGAAACCGCTGTCGATCTCCGGAGACCCTCCGCTCGCCCCGCCAGACGAGTCCGACTCCTTCAGCGAGTCCTTCGGCGATCCTTCGGGGCTCTCTGGGGAGTCTCTCGGCTCCGGAGACTCTTTGGGATCCGCAGACGGACGTCCCTGCAGAGCAGACTCAGTTTCTATCACCGAAGCAACTATTATCTCCAGCGGGTGGGCGCCAGTTTCCAACTGATGGAAACTGGTTTCTGGGCTGGTCTGTGGAATGGTCTCCAGTTGATTTGAGCTGGTTTCTGGGCTGGTCTGTGGAATAGTCTCCAGTTGATGGGAGCCAGTTTCCTGCTGGCCAGTCTCAGTTTCCAGTGGGTGTGAGCCAGTTTCAGGGCCAGTCTGTGGAATAGTCTCCAGTTGATGGGAGCTGGTTTCCACTTGATTGAAGCCTGTTTCATGGCTGGTCTGGGCAATACTCTCAAGCGGTTGGGAACCTTTTTCACATCCAGTTTCATGCTGAAGGTAGCCAGTTTCTTGGCCAGTCTGTGATTCATCCTGCTGAGTTATGTCCTGTTCCTCTTCAACAGGCCGCAGAGATCGGAGCATCAGGACTTCCTGTCTCCTCTCACTGCCGAGTTTCCTGTCTACATGCCCCTGTGCAGGCTCAACTTTCCTCTCTGCATGTCCCTGCGCAGGCTCCACGGTGTCAGACAAGTGTTCAGACTCTCCGGCTGACATGGTCTCCAGGACCTCAGGTAACAACTCAAGCTTGCCAGCAGGGTCAGTCTGTCTCTCAAATGTCATGGCATCAGAATCAGTTGATGCCGCTGGGTCTTGTTCCCCTGTAGAAGCCTCCATGTTTCCTTCCTGGCCCAGCGTTTGCTGCTCTTCCTGCCCCACAGCCTGTTCTGAGCTGTCCTTTTCCACGGCTTGTTCAGGACTGTCTTTTCTCTCCATGAGCTCAGCAAACATCCCCGGAGCCTCCTGCACCCCGACGGGGGAATCCGGAGAAATCCTGTCGCTCAGAAGCTCCTCCATCTGCGCGCTGTCCAGCGACCGGCTCATGAAGTGCAGCGACTCTTCCTCAAACGACTCCACGGAGGCGCTTCTCAGGTCCCAGCTGGTGCCGTATTTGGAGCCCTCGTATTTGGAGTCGTACCTGACAGGCGTGTCGGGCGGCTGCCCCATGGACAGGGACCTCAGCGGTGCCTTCGGCCGCTCTGATCTTCTCACCTGTGAACTCCTGGCAGGCTCTTCGTAAGCCTTTCTCACAGAACACTCCGCAGGCTCAACCTTCTCCTGCAGGAAGTCCTTAGCCGACACGGGGGTGATGTCTGGACTTTCCTCCCTCAGATCCTCCAGACTTTCCCTGTACGTGCCATCCTCGGGCGCGACGGTGGGGGTGAGATCCTCCTCGCTGGGGTCCGCGCGGGTCCAGGGCTCCGACTCCGAGCGCAGCAGCAGCTTGGAGGCGAAGTCGTCAGCAGTGTCGTCCGGCCGGTCTGTGTGGGAGTCGCTGAGGCTGCGCACGCCGCTGGTGTGGTACACGAAGCTGTTAGTGTACTCCCAGGAGGCATCCATCTCCCCCAGCCGACAGTTAGGGTTATCTTCATCCTGCTGCCGATCCTCCGTACCAGCCTCGTCCTGCCTCTCCTCCGTACCAGCTTCAGAAGACATTACAGACGACATCTCATCATCAGCCTCCACTGCCTTCTCCTCCTCCTCCTCCAGGGTCTCATGGTCCGACAAAATGTCAGACTCTGCCCTTCCCAGCTCTGGCCTGCTGTCATCTAGCTGTTCAGCGCTGTCCTGCTCTGGCCTACTGTCATCTAGCTGTTCAGCGCTGTCCTGATCTGGCCTGCTGTCATCTAGCTGTCCAGCACTGTCCTCTAGCTGTCCAGCACTGACCTCCAGCTGTCCAGCACTGACCTCCAGCTGTCTAGAACTGACCTCTGGCCTGCTGTCCCCATCAGACACCACAGCTGTTGGCCCTGCTGTCTGCTGCTGTTCCCCATCAAACACCTCAGCTGTCCCCACTGTCTGCTCAGCTGGAAGCCCTGCTGTCTGCTCAGCTGGAAGCCCTGCTGCCTGTTGTTCACGGCTGGAGGATGAGCCTAAAGCCTCGTGTCTCAGGAGCTTATTCTGCTCATCCACAGATTCCACAGGTGATACAGCATGTTGCTGTTCTGGCTGCAGGTCACACTGAGGCGTTGGTTGTTGTAATTTCTCATCTGGGCGTGTTGTGAAGTCAGCAGTGGCTTCTGCTGGTTCTGGTATGTCTTCTTCTGCGATGTCTGTTGACTTTCTGCTGGATGGAGCCATTTCAACAGCTTCTAGCCTGGATATGTCCTGTTGAGGGTGTCCAGGTTTCTTTTCTGTTTCCCTATCCTCCTGCAGGTGTGACACAGCATCTCCTGCAGCCTGTTTGTCCTGCACTAACTCAGCCTCCTGCAGTAACTCAGCCTCCTGCAGTAACTCAAACTCCTGCAGGCTGACAGCAGCGTCCTGAATATGTGACGCAGCCTCCTCTGCAGCTTGTGAGTCCTGCAGATGTGACGCAGCATCCTCTGCTGCTTGAGTGTCCTGCAGCAGGCTGACTGCAGCGTCCACCGATACTGGAGCTGTGAGTCGTCTGGCCTCTTCACTGTCTACAGGAGTTGGGGGTGGGGAGGGGGGCGATTCCGAGGGAGGGAAGGCTTCTATCGACTGGTCAGAATCTTCTGCAAACACATCGTCCTTTTCCTCTGCAGGTGAAATTGCAGGTGACACAGGTGAGCGCACGGGTGACAGAGGTGAGCGGGCCTCTGCTGACAACGGTGAGCGGGCCTCTGCTGACACAGGTGAGCGTGCCTCTGCTGACACAGGTGAGCGGGCAGGTGAGTGGGCCTCTGCTGACACAGGTGAGCCCACAGGTGACACAGGTGAGCGTGCCTCTGCTGACACAGGTGAGTGGGCCTCTGCTGACAACGGTGAGCGGGCCTCTGCTGACACAGGTGAGCGTGCCTCTGCTGACACAGGTGAGCGGGCAGGTGAGCGTGCCTCTGCTGACACAGGTGAGCGGACAGGTGAGCACACAGGTGAGCGTGCCTCTGCTGACACAGGTGAGCGTGCCTCTGCTGACACAGGTGAGCGTGCCTCTGCTGACACAGGTGAGCGGTCAGGTGAGCAGGCAGGTGAGCACACAGGTGAGCATGCCTCTGCTGACACAGGTGAGTGGGCCTCTGCTGACACAGGTGAGCCCACAGGTGACACAGGTGAGCGTGCCTCTGCTGACACAGGTGAGCGGACAGGTGAGTGTGTATCTGCAGTTGGCAATGTTTTTTGCTCTTCCAATTTGTCTGCCTCTGCTGGTTGCAGTGTTAGATTTTCTGGTACTTCCTCCTCAGATTTTGGTATTGGAGCTGTTTCAGGAATTAATGCTTCATCTTCTTGAGAAGCAAACGTAACCTTTTGTTCAGTGTCAACAACGTCCACATTTGCAGCTTCTATCTGGTATTCCACAACAGAGTCTCTGCTTGGCTGTGTGACATTCTTCATTTCAGCCGCCTCCATTTCTGCTTGGTCGGGAGCATCACAGATGTTCTGTCTGATGACCTCGGTCTCAGCAGGAAGAGCATCAGCAGCTTTTGTGAGACTCTCCTTTACGGCAGCAGGACCTTCCTCCGTACCTGTGACATCTTGTAGACTTTCTGGAGACTCAGACTCTCCTGAAGGTGAGACATCCTTCAGGTGCGATGTGCCTGTAACCTCGCTGCTTAGAATCTTGTTCTGTTCATCCACAGATTCAGCAGGTTCTGCCATGAGCTCTGCAGGTTTGAAGTCCATCGGCCCTGTTAGGAGCTCCTTCTTGTCATCCACAGATTCAGCGGGTTCTGCCAGGAGCTCTGCAGGTGTGAGGTCCTTCAGGTGTGATGTGTCTGTAACCTCGCTTCTTAGAAGCTCGTTCTGCTCATCCACAGATTCAGCAGGTTCACCCATGAGTTCGTCAGGATTGAAGTCCATCGGCCCTGTTAGGAGCTCCTTCTGTTCATCTGAATCTCCAGCAGGTTCACCCATGAGCTCTGCTGGTGTGAAGTCCATCGGCCCTGCCACAGTGACGTGGTTCCTGGTCACACAGACCAGCTCCTCGGTACTGATGCTGGCCTGAGGAGACGGAGGCCTCTCAGCTTCCACTGGTTTGTCTGGAGTTTCCCCTTCCCTCTCAGCTGCCACTGGTTTGTCTGGAGTTTCCACTTCCCGGGACACAGAGCCCTGGAGAACCTTTCCTGCCACCAAAGTCTTCTGAGGCTTCTTAGAAGGCCCTTTAGTCAACTTTGCTTCTTTTTGTGATGATGATACTTTTGTTTGGACAAGTGTTTTTCTTGTAGTTGTTTTTTCTGCAGAAGTCTTTTTCGTGGCGCGTTTTTCAGTGACTACAACTTTTTTCAAAGGTTTGTTGGGAGCTGGTGCCTTTTTAGAGGGAAGTTTGTCTCCTGCTGCTACTGAAGCCTTACTGGTGACAGGTTTGTCTTTGCTTGGAGGCTTACTGGTAACTGTTTTCTCTTTGCCTTTGCTTGGAGCCTTACTTGTTAGAGGTCTATCTGCTGCAACCGGTGGCTTTTTGGTGGTTGGTTTTGCTCCAACCTTCTTTGCTGATGTTGTCTTAGTGGATGTTTTAAACTGGTCCTTCATAATAACACTTGTTGTTTCTACCGTTATCTTCTTTTTCTCCAGTAAAGTCACTTTTTCTTGCTCCTTGACATTTTTCTTGCCTACAACTTGTTTGTTTGCTTGTCTGCTTGTTGCCATGGTTACCTTGTCCTTCTGTGAGACAGAAACTTTCATCTTAGTTTCCACACTGGTGACCTTTGACCTAGCACCTGATGCCACAACATTTGTCTTGGTCTCATCTTTGCCCTTCACCTTTTCTGCCTTTTTGCTGGTTTCCGCCATTTTTGCTCTTGTTTCTGTCTCTCTTGCTGCTGGAGATGCTTTGCTGGTTTCTTTGCTAGATTTTTTCACTCCTAATTTCCCGGAAGGTGCTGCTTTTGACTTTGTGGCATCGTCTTTCTTCGAAGGCAAAACTCGGCTTGCTGCGCTGCCTCCGTTGGCTGCAGGTTTTCCCCTTCTTCCCGGTTTCTCTGCCGGTCTGGGACCAGACATGGGACCAGACATGGGACCAGACGTGGGACCAGACGTGTCTTTCTTTTTCCCTGCAGTTTCTCTCCCTGCAGTTTCTCTTCCTTTTGGTCTCAACTTCGGGGACTCCGGACCCGCTGCAGCAGTTCTGGACAGTTCCCCTCCCTCCTTGCCATGGACACTCACAGCTTCAGGTGGGGCACCTGGAACACCAGGCCCTGCAGCAGGTGGCGCACCTGGAACAGCTGACACTACAGGTGGGGCACCTGTTACACCTGGCCCTGCAGCAGGTGGGGCACCTGGAACAGCTGGCCCTGCAGCAGGTGGGGCATCCGGTTCTACAGGTTGGGCATCTGTGACATCTTGCTCTAAACGTGGAGCATCTCTTGCAGGTGGGGCATCTGTGACACCTGATTCAGCAGCAGGTGAGACATCCGGTTCTACAGGTGGGGCATATTGCTCAGGTGGTTCTACAGGTGGGGCACCTGTGGCACCTGGCTCTGCGGCAGGTGAAGCATTACCTGGCACAGGTGGGCCATTGGTGACTCCTGCTGCTGCAATGGGAATGTTGGGTGGGGCCAGACCAGGCTCTGCCTCTGTAGCAGCATCTACATCTGCACCAGGCATCTGTAAGTAGGAATGCTCTGTCTGGTCAGGTGCCTGCGCCTCTGTTCCTGCACTAACCACTGTTCCTGCACTAACCACTGTTCCTGCACTAACCACTGTTCCTGCACTAACCACTGTTCCTGCACTAACCACTGTTCCTGCACTAACCACTGTTCCTGCACTAACCACTGTTCCTGCACTAACCATGTCCTTTTCCCTGCTGTCCATTTCCTTCTCACTCTCCTCTGTCTCTGCCTTCTCAGACACGACCAAGTCTTCCAGTGGCACTACCATAGCAGCGCCCCCTGTGGCGCCTGTTGGCACTGCAGCTGCATCGCGTGGCTCATTCTGCACGTTTTTCGCTTTTGCTGGAGATTTTGAGACATCTTCCTTTTCTTTTTTGCCGTTGATCTTCTTCGGTGACTTTGTTTTTGAAATGTTTTCTGCAGCACTTGCCCTTTTCTGGGCAGGCTGTCGCCCTGATGCTTTTGTTTTCTTCATCAGACTAGTCTGACTTTTGGAGGGACTTGCCGGCTTTTTCGCTGTGCTGGCATCATTATTTACTGACTTCTTTCCGGGATTAGCTTCGCTGGCAGGCTTCCTGACCGGGCTAGCTGGCACACCGCCAGACCTCTTTGCTGGACTTGTTTCTCCTTTCTGCCTAGCCGTGCTAGTCTCCACACGGTGCTTAGCAGGGCTACTCGACCCTTTGGCTGTCTGCCTAGCAGGGCTACTTTCCACACGATGCTTAGCAGGGCTAGTTTCTGCCTTGGTCGTGGACCTAGCAGGGCTAGTTTCCACATGGTGTCTAGCAGGGCTACTTTCCACCTTGCCTGTCTGCCTAGCAGGGCTACTTTCCTTGCTTATCTGCCTAGCAGGGCTAGTTTCCTTGCCTGCCTGCCTAGCAGGGCTAGTTTCCACATGGTGCCTGACAGGGCTAGATTCCCTGGCCGATCCAGCCTCCAGACCTGCCAGTTGCTTCGCTGGCGGGCTTTTCTTGGTTCCGGCCGCGTCCATTTCGTCCTCGGACAGGACGAAGGAGCGGGATTTCTGCTGGAAGGCGAGGGTCGGGCAGAGCAGGTGCGAGTCCGGCTTGATCTTGGGAGATTTCTTCTTCTTCGGAGGCTTTCCTTCGGTGACCGAGTCCGTAGAAGAAGAAGACCTGAGGTGCAATAAAACGGAAAATTCTTTTTAAGTGCAGGAACGCAGAAGCCTTCTCCCACAGAGCTACCCAACTGTGGAAATCTTTTAGTAATGGTAATATTAGTTTTATACTTAACCGATAATTTGCTCGTTCAATGATTTTAGCTATAATCAGTACCTTGTCTGACCTGTGACCTCAACGTGTATGTAAATTTGTAGTCATATGTGTATTATTATTTGTGCTGTGTATGTAATGTGTAATGAGCCCTGGAAGATAAGTAAATAATAAATAAATGGTTGTGATAAAAAGAACTTTGCTATTCAGTTCTAATTTACTTCAAATAAATAAATGACTAGATAAATGCGTACCTGATCATGCATCAACGTGCGACAGATGGTAAACTTAGCTATGTAAGCCGAACTAGAGAATAAATAAATGCGTACCTGATGTCTCTGTCGCTGAAGGTGGCCCCGGCCGGGCGAGGGCTCCGCGTGCGAGACCGCGGCCGCATGTATCCCGGCAACGCCACGCCCTCCCCGTCCTTTATCACCACGGCAGGACTTCGACTTCTGGACCGCGAAGACAGCCTGAAGGAAACAGCAAAGTCATTAATGTCCATCTTCCAACATTTTCAAAACTCATGCCAAATAACCCCACATTTTCCTCATTCTGGTTAACTCAATACTTAAATCATATCTCACTTCTGGACCGCGAAGACAGCATGAAGGAAACAGCAAAGTTATGTCAATCTTTTGACATTTTCAAAACTCAAACCAAAGCTGAGCTCATAAATAACCCCACATTTTCCTTATTCTGGTTAACACAGTACTTAAATCATATCTTTATGTACTGTGTTTCCATAATATATTTTCATTCATATTCATATAAGACAGCCTGAAGGAAACATTAAAGTTTTGTCCACTTTGTAATTTGTATTGCACTGTATTTATATTGACTGTTGTGTTTGGGAGGACAACTTGTAAAGGTGTCAATACACCTGTTTTGTCCTCCCTTCCACTTGTATGTTTGTACTTGTGGTGAATTCTAATAAACAAATAAACTTTCAACATTGTCAAAACTCACACCCAAGTTCAGAAATAACCCCACATTTTCCTTAAATTCTGGTTAACTCAATACTTAAATCATATCTTTATATACTGTGTTTCCATTTATATTTTCAACATTTTCAAAACTCAAACCAAAGCTGAGCTCATAAATAACCCCACATTTTCCTCATTCTGGTTAACTCAATACTTATTGTTGTTATGTAATAACTATGATAATCATTGTATAGATAAAATCAAAACCCACCTTTTCTTCTTGAGGTTTTTCTTGTTAGTTTTGGCTCCGTCCGCTGTGTTCATGTCGTCGGACTTGGAGCTTGATGCGGAGACGCGGGTGAGCGATGACTCCCGTGATCGCGAGCGTTGCCGGGCGGGGTTCGACCCGGCGCTGGAGCTGCGCAGGCTGCTCGTGCGCGTCTGCTTGATGAACGGGGCGCGCGGTCGCCGGGTGGGGCTGCGTTGCCGTGACAACTCGTCCTGCTTCATGCTGTCGGATTTCTCCTCCCCGTCCCCGGGCCCCGCCCCGGCCGAGATGTCGCGCCGCTTCTCGGGTTTCGTCTTGGAGGAGCTTCTCTTCTTGCCGCTTCTGGACGCTGACCCGGCTCGCTTGGTTCTGCCTGCGGAGGCATGTTTTATATTCAATAATATTTATGGTTTATGGTTTATTAAGATGCCCTTTAGCCCCATGAGGGGCTTATCTTCCAGGGAATTAGACAAGACAATGCAATACGTACATAAAACAGATATACACAAAAGCACAGATGACATACAATTACAAATTAAGAATTAGAATTGAGGTCAAGAAAAATGTAATATATTCACTGAGTATTAGGCAAGAAGCACAGTTGTGATTAAAACACAATGGCAAAATACATAGATTACATATTACAAAATGGGTAAAATAAAATGAGTATAAACAAGACAAATTGGTGATCTATCGAATTATGAGAATCTACCTGTACAGTAGACAGGCTGAATAAAAGTTCTAAACGGGAACTATGCGGCTCCAGATGTCTTACTGAGGGAGGACTGCGTGTGCAAGATGTCGGTTAGCTTGTCTAAGGAATGAATATCGAATCCCCTCTACTATATACTACCCGAGTATAATTACACACACACACACACACACATTTTATATTATTAGGTAGATATTCAAATCATTATATTATATATAAATGTTTGAACAGAAAACATGAGAGTTCCCGTACCTGCAGATTTCTGCCTGACTCCGTTCTGCACGGCTGCCTCCTCCCCGAGTTTCCCGCTCGGCCCGACGGCGCCGCTCGACGGCCGAGATTTTCTCCCCGACGGAGATTTCCGGGCGCTTCCCGACTTCTTCCCCTTCGTCGGCACTTTCCCGGCCGCCGCTTCCGCCTTCGCTGCTCCCTGCCGGCCGGACATTTGGCGGTCTTTGCTGGACGACTTCTGAAGGTGGCCATAAAAACTGGGTAGAATCTCTCTATTGAACAAACTTATAGCTTCGGATTATTGCAAACCTCACATTCATCAGGAAATCCAGAATAACCAAATCAGATGCCCCTGTCCCATTCACAAGACAACCCTAAATATGCTAGGAACTATTATTATGTACCACTTTTTCCAAAGCCTTGATAATAACAGGTTAGGACAGAAAACAGTCTATACTAGCAAGAAACTTTGTTAACTGCTAATACAATCTGTTCTTCACCTTTGCCCTCTGTGCACTGGAGAGTTTTGGCTTCTTGGTGGGAACATGGCCGATATCGTCCACAAACACTGCGGCTGCGAGGAGAAATAAATAAACAAACAAATAAACAAACACAAAATACCTTAAAGACTGTTATCACAGCATTTGTTCTACTAATTCCACTCTACACATGGGTCAGAGCTTTAAAGTTTTTGTTTAAATCACGTTGTGAAAGCCTCGTGACATAACCTTACTGCTTGTTGTTTTTGTGGGCTGACAGTTCTGAACATCAACTTCACAGTGGATTCCATGCTCCGTTTGGGAAGAACACACTAACGTCTACCGTTCTGGACTACTGTTCTTGCTGCTAAAATTCTTTCTGTTGGCACATGCAACTAAAGGGTACTGACTGGGGAAGACAAGGCTTAGCATGCTGTGGGGTTTGAACCACCCATGCAAGGGTGTGGGTCTATGTCACCATTCAACCACCCATGCAAATTGATGCTATGGTTAGTGATAAACAACCCATGCAAATTGATACTGTGGATCTACATCAACATTTCCACGGCACAAGTTATATAATATAACTTATGGCAAGTTACAGAAGCAAAGGTCTTACGTGATCCTGAGGTTCCAGAAATCAAAGCAGGAAAAAAGAGAAAGCAAAAAGTGCAGTTTCAGCAAAAAGCAGTTATGGTAAAGATGAAGTGGCTCATAGAAAGGAATCACAGTTTAGTGTCACAAAGTCCCCCCATTGGCAGGACAGAAAAGTGATGATAACTTCTACTCTAGAGGAATCACAAGTGCTTTTCAATCTATCATGAAAGTTCATCTGTGTTGATAGTTACATGTTTAAAGTTAAAACTTCTGATCCAACACCAAAAATTCTCAGTCTACTGTCTACTGAGTCTGCTGTCAGTCTACTGAGGAAGACCAGAGTGACTGGTTGAAAGCTCTAAGTGAGAGAATTTATGGTGTTGGATCAAAAGTTTTAACTTTAAACATGCTTTTCAATCTGTCCCAAAAATGTCTGGGCCTGTCATGTTCTATGCCAGAATGAGTTAGGGTTAGGATCAGGTAGAGTTCTGGTAAAAGGATGGCCCTACAGATACACCACCTAGAGTGCACGGCTCAGGTCATGAGAAACAGGAACAGAGTCTCACCTTCCTTGACCTTGGCCTTGGCGCTAGCGGAGAAGCTGTTCCATCCGACGGTGTGCTGAACTTGGGCCACGTTCTGCACGATGTAAGTCCAGCAGCGTTCGTGTAGCGTGTTCACCTGCACTACCATGTCCTGCAGACAGGGGGCAGCATTACATTAGTGTTCACAGGTACACTACCATGTCCTACAGACAGGGAGCAGTATTACATTAGTGTTCACCTGCACTACCATGTCCTGCAGACAGGGGGGAGCATTACATTAGTGTTCACCTGCACTACCATGTCCTGCAGACAGGGGGCAGCATTACATTAGTGTTCACCTGCACTACCATGTCCTGCAGACAGGGGGCAGCATTACATTAGTGTTCACCTGCACTACCATGTCCTGCAGACAGGGGCAGCATTACATTAGTGTTCACCTGCACTACCATGTCCTGTAGACAGGGGGCAGCATTACATTAGCAACACTAACACCTGCACTACCATGTCCTGCAGACAGGGGACAGCATTACATTAGTGTTCACCTGCACTACCATGGCCTGCAGACAGGGGGCAGCATTACATTAGCAACACTAACACCTGCACTACCATGTCCTGCAGACAGGGGACAGCATTACATTAGCAACACTAACATGTTCATCCGCACTACGCAGAGCTCCCCTTAACCAAGCACATGTGCCCTGCAGAGCGCCCCCTACCCACGCACATGTGCCCTGCAGGCAAAGCGCCCCCTGTTGAAGCTGTGTGGCATGCCAGGATGATAAATAATGACATTACCCTGCTGAATTCAGCCGGACCGCATGTCTGAAACAAACAAACAGGCACTCAAATAAACAAAACAAACTGAGAAACAGAACAAAAAAGAAAAGAAAGAAAATGGAGCAGAAAGAGTAAAGAAAATGGTTAGTGTGAAAGCTAATGTTTGTTTGTTTTTTGACTTACTGAGTTCCAGTCGTCCGTCATGCCTAGCTGCTTGAGTCTGTTGACGGACCAGAACTTGTGGCAGCAGTTGTCTGGAGTCAGGCTGTCAACAAGCGCTGAGAACACCTGGCTCACAAACTGGCCCTTCCAGCCCATTCCCTGTATCAACAATAAATAATAACATCAACATAATTATTACAACAGCATAACTAACACTAACACTAACACTACCCCTATCCCCAACCCTAACCCTACCCCCTACCCCAGCACAGAAAATACCTGGCTCACAAACTGGCCCTTCCAGCCCATTCCCCGTATCAACAACACATCATAACATCAACATACTTTAGTAACAACAGCATAACTAACACTAACACTACCCCTATCCCCAACCCTAACCCTACCCCCTACCCCAGCACATAAAACACCTGGATCACAAACTGCCCCCTCCAGCCCATTCCCTGTAGGGCAGAAATAAACACATTAACATTAACTCAGTAACAACAGCAGTACGTGCTGATATGTGATGCTAACCCTAACCCTATCCCTAACACGTGCCGTTGCCTGTACAGACAGCTCTCTCACAGGCTCCACAAACAAACAAACAGCTCACCCTGAGGAGTGTGCAAAACGTGCCGTTGCCGACCACGTAGCCAAAGTTCTGCACCATGTAGCCCACGCAGGCATCCCTCAGCTGTACGGACAGCTCTCTCACAGGCTCCACAAACAAACAAACAAACACACAGCTCACCCTGAGGAGTGTGCAAAACGTGCCGTTGCCGACCACGTAGCCAAAGTTCTGCACCATGAATCCCACACAGGCGTCCCTCAGCTGTACGGACAGCTCTCTCACTGGCTCCACAAACAAACAAACAAACAAACAAACAAACAAACAGCTCACCCTGAGGAGTGTGCAAAACGTGCCATTGCCGACCACGTAGCCAAAGTTCTGCACCATGAAGCCCACGCAGGCATCCCTCAGCTGTACGGACAGCTCTCTCACAGGCTCCACAAACAAACAAACAAACAAACAGCTCACCCTGAGGAGTGTGCAAAACGTGCCATTGCCGACCACGTAGCCAAAGTTCTGCACCATGAATCCCACGCAGGCGTCCCTCAGCTGTACAGACAGCTCTCTCACAGGCTCCGCCCACTTCACGCTCGGGATGGTTGACTGCAGCTTGTCACTCTCTATCGCCATGGCAACCGCATTCTCATTGGTCTGGGGGAGGAAGCACCATACTTGTTACCATGCAAACAGGATTCTGATTGGGCAGATCATTTCTTAAAAACAGAGTTACTTTTGCAATGACTTGGGCGTATTGGTGTGGTGTGTTACAATAAGACTAAGGGCGTTAATACCGGATGTACCGGAGATACAGAAGCTGGTGTGTTACGCTGAAGGGCGGTTATACCGGCTATACAGAATACAGAAGCTGGTGTGTTACGCCGAAGGGCGGTTATACCGGCTATACAGAATACAGAAGCTGGTGTGTTACGCTGAAGGGCGGTTATACCGGTTATACAGATACAGAAGCTGGTGTGTTACGCTGAAGGGCGGTTATATCGGTTATACAGATACAGAAGCTGGTGTGTTACGCCAAAGGGCGGTTATATCGGTTATACAGATACAGAAGCTGGTGTGTTACGCCAAAGGGCGGTTATACCGGCTATACAGATACAGAAGCCGGTGTGTTACGCTGAAGGGCGGTTATACCGGCTATACAGATACAGAAGCTGGTGTGTTACGCCAAAGGGCGGTTATACCGGCTATACAGATACAGAAGCTGGTGTATGTGTGGTTAGGTCTGTATGGTATTTTCTTGTGTGGGATCTGTAGGTACTAACCAGGGTTTCCTGTATGGCTGAGAAGCACTTGTGCTTCAGCTGTGTGGGTTGTGCTATGACAGACACAGGTATACTATAACATGGGTGTGCTATGACCGGAATGAAACGTGTATTTTGAACTGTGGCCTGGGTGGGTTGATACTAACCAGGGTCTCCTGTATGGCTGAGAAGCACTTGTGCATCAGCTGCGTGGGTAAGTTGGCAAATGTCTGGGTAGGCCAGACCTTCGCAAAATGCTTGGAGATCCACCTGCAGAACAGGATAGTAAAACATCAGACATTACTTTAAACTTAGTCAGAATACTTTCTAGAGCCAGAAACAGCTTAATTTAGCCATGTTGAGCCCAAACCTAGTGGGTACTTAGTTGTATAGGGAGGGTACTTACTTGTGTGTGTGTGTGTGTAAGGTACTTACTTGTGTGTGTGTGTTTATAATGTAGGTACTTACTTGAGACAGCCTGTGTGTGTGTGTTTATGGGTACTTACTTGAGACAGCCTGTGTGTGTGTGTGTGTAAGGTACTTACTTGAGACAGCCTGTGTGTGTGTGTGTGTAAGGTACTTACTTGAGACAGCCTGTGTGTGTGTGTTTATGGATACTTACTTGAGACAGCCTGTGTGTGTGTGTATTATTAGTACTTACTTGAGACAGCCTGTGTAGAGTCCCTCCATGCCGAATGTGTGTGCGAGCGCCAGGCAGTCTGGAACTGCCGTCAGGCATCCTGTGCAGGGCTGGGAAACAAACATTACACATTAGGCAAACTGTGTGAGGTGAAATGACAGTCAGGGAGGGCGGGAGGGAGAGAGAGGGGAAGGGAGAGATGGAGAGAGAGAAAGAGGGAGGAGGGACTGACCTTGTGGAAGAGGTGACAGCTGTTGTGCTTTAAGACGAGGGCAGCGACATCTTTGAGCCCCTCCAGTCCGTACATGTCTGCCAGGGGAACCACCTCGCTGCAGAGGGAACAGGCATAAAGCATTAAGAGAGGCATTAAGCAGCGTACAGGCGAGAAACAAACTGAAAAGAAACATTTCCACAAAGTTGCTCCTGAAGCCAACAGACGAGAGGAGGCTGTTCTCACCTGGGCGTGACGTTGTTAGGAAGGTCGATGGTTCCTCCATAGATGAAGTACAGCAGGGCCATCACTCCGGCATGGCTTACGCTGAACAAACAAACAAACAAACAAACAAACAAACATCACTCCAGCATGGCTTACGCTGAACAAACAAACAAACAAACAAACAAACATCACTCCAGCATGGCTTACGCTGAACAAACAAACAAACAAATAAACATCACTCCAGCATGGCTTACGCTGAACAAACAAACAAACAACCATCACTCCAGCATGGCTTACGCTGAACAAACAAACAAATAAACAAACATCACTCCAGCATGGCTTACCCTGAACAAACAAACAAACAAACAAATAAACATCACTCCAGCATGGCTTACGCTGAACAAACAAACAAATAAACATCACTCCTGCATGGCTTACGCTGAACAAACAAACAAATTAACATCACTCCTGCATGGCTTACGCTTCACAAACAAATAAACAAGCAACCATCACTCCAGCATGGCTTTCGCTGAACAAACAAATAAACAAAGAAAACAGCCAATTGACCTATAACCTGTGACGTACCCATGTAGAGTGATTTCCTGTGACCTATAACCTACCCATGGAGTGTGATTTCCTGTGATCTACCCATGGAGGGTGATCTCCTGTGACCTATAACCTATGACCGACCCATGGAGTGTGATCTCCTGTGACCTATGACCTGTGACCTACCCATGGAGAGTGATTTCCTGTGACATGCTCTCTGCCCAGCTGCCACTCAGCATGGCTGAAAAGTAGCCGGACCTCGCACACAGGATGGCCCTGTAGCAACAAACAACACAACATTACACATTAAATGCAACTGTACATAACCCTAACCCTAACCCTCGCACACAGGGTGGCCCTAAAACAAAAAATACAATATTACACAACTGTACATATCCCTAACCCTAACCCTCGCACACAGGATGGCCCTGTAACAACACACAACATTACACATTACATTCAACTGTACATATCCCTAACCCTTGCACACAGGATGGCCCTGTAACAACACACAACATTACACATTACATTCAACTGTACATATCCCTAACCCTTGCACACAGGATGGCCCTAAAACAACATCACATACAACATTACACATTACCCTAACACAACCATACATACACAACCCTAACCCTCGCACACAGGATGGCCCTGTAACAACACAACATTACACATTACATGTTACTGTACATATCCCTAACCCTCGCATACAGGATGGCCCTGCAAAAACAATACAACATTAACTGTACGTATCCCTAACCCTAACCCTCGCACACAGGATGGCCCTGCAACATATAAATACAGCATTAAAGCTACATACTCGCACACAGGATGGCCCTGTAACATAAATACAACATTACACAATAACATTAAACTGTACGTATCCCTAACCCTAACCCTCGCACACAGGATGGCCCTGCAGCAAAAATATGACATAAAACTACATTCTGTACATATGATCTGAAGCAAACACATATTTAGATGTAGAATAGTTAGAATAAGAAGTATGAGAATAAACTGGGATAAGTAAGGAAGGTGGGATACTTCTGAGTAGGCTACCTGTAAGTAGGTTACCTGTAAGTAGGTTACCTGTAAGTAGGTTACCTGTAAGTAGGTTACCTGTAAGGCGGTTTCTCACCTGTGAGCCTTGATTTTCTGGTTCTCGACGACGATCTCGATGTCAGGCTCCACGGAGTTCACGAACAGCTGGAGCAGGTCAGCCGCCAGGGCTGAGGCAGGGGTGGGCTGGCCTGGGGGGGGGCACACATCGCCGTTAAACACACAAACAAACAAACACACACACAAACAAGCAAACACACAAACAAGCATCAGCAATGCTGGCCTGGGAGGGACACACATCACTATCAACAAAACCAAAACCAAAATCAAACAAGCGAACCTCTGTGCAGCTGCAGGTTGTCCACCGACTTGCAGTCTGTTCCCGAGTCAGCCGCGCCCTGTGCAGACAAGGACAGATGTTCTGTTAACAAGTTAAGATAAAAAACTACAGCCACACCCAAGAAAAGATGAACCAGGTTTCCAGCTGTGTTACATGTGACACCCAACCTGCATCTCAGCAAAAGTTACTGCAGGCCCCTTACATGACTAAGTTTCCATCTGACCTGCATCTCAGCAGTAGCAGCTGTCTGCTCCCCGTCCTCCCAGCCTCCCTCCTCCTCCTCCTCCTCCTCCTCCTCCAGGATGGTACTCCCGGCCACGTCGTGTTTCTTCCCGCCAAGCCCGTCCAGCGCCGCATCAGACGAGTGGCTCGTCCCGTCCTCGATGTTGTAACTCCCTGATTCCGACGAATCCTCGCTCGAGTACGTCGCCGTCGACGATGAGTCATCGTCATCATCCTCCAGCTCTGATTGGCTCTCGCTGTGGTCGGCAAGGTTACCATTCACGGGGGGAACAATCCCATCGTCCTTTGCCCGCGCCGTCCCAGCATGCCCTGCGGCGCAGCCCTCGGGAGAGATGCCGCTGTCGGAGCCGTCCGGTTGTCTGGCATCCGCCGGGTCCGGTTGCCGGGCGTCGGCCGGGTTGGCGTTCTCGTCGGGAACGTCCGGAGCAGACTCCGCGGCCGTTTCCTCGTCGATCTCGGAGATGACGCTGAGACTTGCCTCGCGGATCGTGTCGGCGCTGCCGTACAGGTCGATCCATCTCTGCAGCTTCTCCCTGCACGGGCTCAGGTCCTCTCCGGTGTACACCGAGCTGGGGGGAAAGGGCAAGGGTCAACAGTCAAAAGGGCAAGGGTCAACAGTCAAAAGGGCAAGGGTCAACAGTCAAAAGGGCAAGGGTATGCAGACAACAGTGTAAAGCTCAAAAGTCTGGAGACATCAGAGTGGAAAGGTCAAAGTTCTGGAGACAACAGAGGCCAAAGGTCAAAGTTCTGAACATAGAAAACAAAGGTCACAGGTCGAGGTTCAAGAGACAGCAGAGTGTAAAGATCAGGAAGCTCTGGACAAATTTTGTACTTACAGGAGCAGATCCTTGAACTCGTCGTGTTTGACGTGTTTGAAGACGGGAACGACAGAAACGCTGCCGGGAACCTGGGCAGGCAGGAACTTGTCACTCAGCTGGGGTAGCCTGGCTCTCAGGACGGCTCGGTGGGCCGGGAACTGCACTCCTGACACCAGGAACTGGGTATCCACGTTCTGGGCCTCCTCATAAAGCCTGCAGGGAGGTTATAACAACATTAGCCTGGCTCTCAGGACAGCTCGGTGGGCCACAGGAACACCAGGAACTGGGTATCCACATTCTGGGCCTCCTCATAAAGCCTGCAGGGGGGTTATAACAACATTAGCCTGGCTCTCAGGATGGCTCGGTGGGCCAGGAACACCAGGAACTGGGTATCCATGTTCTGGGCCTCCTCATAAAGCCTGCAGGGAGGTTATAACAACATTAGCCTGGCTCTCAGGACGGCTCGGTGGGCCGGGAACTGGGTATCCATGTTCTGGGCCTCCTCATAAAGCCTGCAGGGAGGTTAATATATCAATATGTTAAGGTTAGAGGTTAGACAGTTACATGTTTATGCTATCATGCTAATGTTTAGATATTAGTATTTACATGTTTCTGTTTAGATGTTTGTGTTTAGATATTTGTATTTACATGTTTGTGTTTAGATGTTTGTGTGTTTAGGAAGTACCTCATCATGTCCCATGCCAGCTGCTCGGCCAGACTGGTCCGCAGTTTGTCCCGTTCTTTCCGGGATGTTTATGTTTACGTGTTTATGTTTACATGTTTGTATTTACATGTTTATGTTTACATATTTACCTCATCATGTCCCATGCCAGCTGCTCGGCCAGGCTGGTCCGCAGTTTGTCCCGTTCTTTACGGGATCGCTCGCGGAAAGCTTCGCTCATCTCGACCCCGCCGACCCCAGATGGGCCCTGCGACGCGGAACACGCCATTACAGCAGAGGGGGGGCCAGCTACAGCATGTAGATACTCCTGAAATAACAGCAACATGTTAACTACAGCTGCTACAGCATGTAGGTACTCCTGAAATAACAGCAACATTTTAACTACAGCATGTAGGTACTCCTGAAATAACAGCAACATTTTAACTTTTGCTCACGGTCCACACATTTCTGTGCAAACTGAGGTTACTACGCATTTTTATCGTCCTACATTTGACAAATATTAAACTATTTGGTGATGCCGAAAGGGAACTTACTTACATTGATATACTGTTCATACCCTGTGCGCTTAAGTCTAGTGAAACAAAAACATGTGCATGTGCATTTTTGAACACTCAGATGACTGTAATAACAAAACACTCAAGCCCTGGGCATTTTTCAACAGTGAATCAGGTGCATAACCCTGGGCATTCTTCAGCACTGATACGGTATCTAACGTTAGGACAAAAAAACACAAACATTTCTCAACACTGATATGGTATCTGACCTTATAGTTATAACAAATTAAACACTGTGCAAACCCTGGTCTTTCAGTACTGCATAGCAGGTGGTGCAGGGGGCAAAATAACCTCCTGTCTTCTGTAATTTGCTGGGGAAACCTGTAATTTACACAGGCTTAACGAAGCCAATGCTCGTTAGGGATTTGTGTAATTAGCAATTGCATCAGCTCACTGTCTGTCAGAATTGAGTAAAAACCACTTCAAATGTGACCGTCGGCCACATTGTGCTACAGCCTGACTATAGGATGCACCATATATGTAGTACTATCTCAGGCTTGTTTCCTGTATTGACTGTACTGCCAGTAGAACCCTCTTCCATGTTATATACTGCCTGCATTTCAGTAGCCATTGCTGGTCGATATTTGCCCGTCCCAATTAGAGCCTTCCCTTCCCCGCCGCCAAAATGACTGTCATTTGGTTCCACCACATTAGAGCAGCCCCAGCCGGCTGGCAGACAATCTCATATCAGGGATAATTCTATCTGAGTACTAGTTATTCTCATGATATTACACAGTGTTCGAAATACCTGTCTGCAGTCTGCATTCTGCAGATAGATTTTCAAGATTGCAGAAGAAAAATTTATACAATCTGCAATTTTGCAGAAGGAAAAATAGGCTCCAGATTCAAGCAAACTATAACTCTCTGGCCCCAAGGACAGACAATACTTAAGCTCCTGTTTTGAAGCAACAGGAGCTTCTTCACTAATTTGCATCATCCTTGTCTTGACTTGTCTATCTTTTGTTTAGCCCTTTGGACTTCCAAAAATTTGTCTTCACTAATTTGCATATGAATCAATAGTTCGTCCTTATAAACCTGCAATTCTCTTAGTGTCACTGACGAAAGGTAGTTAGTCTGACCGTTTCAGGTAGCACCAAAATCATATCGAGTTGCTTAAGAGTTAAGTACTGTTTTTTTGGTGTGTCTTTTATTAGTATGTAGTGTGGAAGGATGATATGTGGGTGTGATTACTAGTACATTTACAGGTAAGGTACATGTATGATTTTAGTTGTAGTAGCTTGTAGTGGGGGACAGCGGTGAAAGACCCGTGAAGATACATGTACCAGTAAATGATAAATTTTCTGTGAAAATTTTCTATAAAGTCTGAAATTAAAAAGAGTGATAGATTAAACTTAAAAGAATTCCAGTAATGCTACAGATTTACAAAGCTATATATGATGTAACAAAGACATTAATGGTTTGAGAAGGTTGTAGTATGGAGGCTTGTGTATTTGCAGAAAGTATTTTCAAATTGCAGAACAAAATTTTGACTCTTCTGCAATATTGCAGAGCAATGAAAAAAAGTATTTCGACCACTGTTACAGCAACATGAACTTCAATGTGTTATAACTTTATACAGGAATACAGACAACATCACCTCATACAGACAACATCACCTCATACAGACAACATCACCTCATACAGACAACATCACCACTGGCTGGCAGGCAATCTCATGTCAGTAGCAGCAGCAGGGATAATTCTACTAGTTATTCTGATGGTATTACACAATTTACAGCAACATGAAATTCAATATGTTATAACTTTAATACAGACAACATCACCACATTAGAGCAGCTACAGCATGGCTGGGAGACAATCTCATGTCAGTAGCAGGACGGATTGTAAAGGAGAATTCTATAGCTAGTAACCTGTTATTTATTTTATTTACCTGCTATTCTGCAGGTAACAGCAACATGCATACTTCACCACTTAATAACTTACAGGAATACTTGTAAATTCAGCTTAAAGTGATACAACGACAATTATTAATTACTAGCATTATAAGTCAGAACTGAAACAATTGCAAACTAAATCCAGCCATTCAAAGCTATAATTAAACCTCCATGTGTTTATTAGTATTTCATTTCTTTACATATATTCATTCATTTACTTATTTATTCATTCATTCATTCATCCATTCAATCAAGGACCTTGAATCAATCAATCAGTCACTCATTCGGCATGTGGGTCACATGGATTTTTGGCAGGTAAATTTGACAGGTTTCAGCTGCCGTGGCCAATGACAGCTCTGCTTAAATGACTCATGTTTTATCACACACATTACTAATATCTGCCGCCGCCCGGTTTGATGTTGAACGAATGAATTTATTAAAAATACATACATTGCAGCCATGGGCTAAATTACGTACTATTTACAGTAGGGCACAATAAAATTATACACATGATGCCTTTAAAAAAGAAACAATGTAAACATCATTAAAATCAACTTTAATCGTAAATTATGACATGTTTTGCATGAAAGTTCATCTGAGTTGGTAAATTACGTTATGAAAAACTTAAACTGTTGGGTCATAAAGCTGAAAATTTCTGGTGAGTCAAATTTTGAGTTGGAGAACAGTTTTATTCTATACTAACCTCAGCTTGTTTTATAAACTCCAAACCTCTGCCTGGTTTGCTGGTGATAAATGTAAAGTTTGGGGCTGCCAGCCTGACCCAGACTGACCCATCTGTCACCACCTGCCAAGTCCTGCTGATAACATTCCATTTCCCCTTATAGGGAGCCTGACCACCCCCCGGGGAGATGGCACGACCCCCTGGGGTATAGTGTCATCACATGCGGACCATACCATTCTGATGGACAGCGGGGGGGTCACAAAGCTGTCATAACATTTTCCTGCCTAACCCTGACATCCTATCCCTTCTGTCATAACATTTTCCTTACTTCACAGATATACTATCCCCTATGTCACACTGATACCAGTAGGACATCAATACCAGTAGCTCCATGGCTGGAACATAGCAGAGAGTCAGTTACACAGTCACACATGTACTACATCAACATGTCTGTCCTACACTGGAGTGAGTGGGCATAATCTCCAAGCAGATCCTAGGGTCTCAAAAATAGAGTATGAAATTGGCCAGGCCAGATAGAGAGATAGTCCATCCGCAACCCAAGGGGGTAGCGACAAAAAAACGGGCCATATATAAAAAGCTGACGATCATTCCCACAACCTCTGCTTGGAGGGTGAGTGGGCACACTGCACCTGTCACCCCCCCCTCCATTAAAACAGCTGGGTTTAGCTTTAATTCCCACTTCCTGTCAGCAGTGACAGTTGGGCTGGGATTCACAGACAGCTGACGGATATGGACTCTGATTGACAAACTGCCAAACTAACTACTCATGTACAATAATGGGCCATCTGCCTCCTGCAGTTTAACATGTGTCACTCCAAAAGCTCTGACAATCTTAAACATGTATCCCTCTGACTGTATACGGCAAGTTTAACATGTTACCGTCTGCCTGTGGAAAACTATCCCTATACATAATATATAATACAGACACTTTACATTAGAATATAGCGTTTCATTATGTTAGAATGTGGCAAGTTTAACATGTAACCGTCTGCCTCTGGCAAGTTTAACAACCATCCCTTATTAAATACATTCAATTTAATATAAGACATGTCACCACTAAGTTTGACACTGGGCCACCAGAAAAAGGCAACATGAATTCGACACCAATTCCCCAGAAATGAGCAAGGAAAGTTTAACACCAGAACCAGAAAGTGAAAAATTACCCAAGCCCAATTTACCCTGGGTATTGAAATAGGCTGTAATCCTGTCACTCATTGGACAATTTTGTCTGCTGCCATCTCTAATATACTAGAATACTGATGAAACTGAGGAGAAATGAGCACCTTTCCTGCCCATCTTTATAAAATATCCAGCAACAACTCAAACATGTTGCTCCAAGCAACTCACTTCCTGAACTTGAACTCTCAAACATCCCTCACCCATCTACCCTCCCCCCCATCTATACTCCCTCCCCCCGCATCTAACCCATTTTGGCCAATTTCTACTATTTCTCGAGCGATCTGCGGTGCCTGTTAGGGGCTACATGTCAGGGTTCATGATGACGTCAGGCTGATGTCAGACGGACGTGCATTTGGAGCCGGCCTGACAATCGGCTTACCCCCGAACGCCTGACTAAATATCCGCCCGGCTCTAATCTCCTCAGCACCACATCGCCCGAATATTGCATTCGCATGATGGATTCTGTGAGCAAACAACTTACATGGTGCTGCATGATTTATACATGATGTACAGTGATGGTTTGAAAACACACCTTAGTAACCCACATACAGACATGGTGTTTTCTGTGCTCCATTAATTTCAAAACACATTTTTCCTAGGCTTTAGGACCACATAGTGGGAATATTGCATTGGAATGATGGGTTTTGTGAGCAAATTGTACTTTTATACATGATGTATATAACAGTGATGATTCAGGGAAACACACCTCAGTAACCCACATGCAGACATGTGTTTTCTTTAGTAATTGCTGCACAGTGATGTAATTTCCTACCTACAGACCCTAATTTTTTCAGGATTGAAATATCAAGGAAGCACAACATTTCTTTCCTAGGCGTCAGTGCCACTTAGTCTGAACATGAAGCATTTGGATGATGGATTTTGTAAGCAATGCCTCAGTACCGCACATACAGACATGTTCAGTGCCCCACACATACAGAGATGTTGTTCTGTGTGGTCCATTGATTTGTGTAGTAATTGCTGCAGTGATGTAATTTGCATGGAGACCAGCCCAATGGGAGCGCATATCGCCTTGTATTACCTGATATCGCCCACCTGCATGGCGTATATGTAGTGATGATATAGTGATATTTGGAAAACACACCTCAATACCCCACATATACAGACATGTTGTTTCTGTGCTCCATTGATTTGTGTAGTAATTGGTGCAGTGATGTAATTTACATGGGGACCAGCCCAATGGGAACGCGTATCGGGTAATATTCCCACCTGCATGGCGGCTCCTAACCCACCCGGACCCGATATACGGGCACAAAGACGGGCCGCTTCTAACTGGCTCGCACCAAATATTCCCCATTTTCCACCCTATTAAAAATTAATAAAAAGTGAGAGTGGAGCCTGCGGATGTTTTCTGATATTAGAGATCAATAATTATTGGTATTATCGGTAGACGGGACGGGTAATGTCGCCAGGAGAAAATTTGGGAGGGCCGGGCATTAGAAGGAAAACACGATTTGCGCTAATCTTCGCGAATCTGGCTGCGGCCGCGCTGTACCATCTGCCGCGCCGCATCACTAACACCAGCACGTACGCGACTAGAATGAATGAACGGGGAAACAGGAGACATGTCGGCCGCACGGCCTGTGTTCACAGCCCGCCCGGCCCCACACCCAGCCCCCGGACAGGCCTCCCCACCCCACGGGAGGTACCCCTGGGGCAGGGGAGAAGAGCCCTACCTGTTCTGTGCGCCTCTGACGGGTGGATGTCCCAGGAATCGCGGATGTAGCGGGTCTGTACCGAGGCCTGAGCGGGGATGATGAAGGAAAGGCGAGAATCAGAATCCTCCGGGAAATCTCGCCTTTTCACGCGCCGTAAACAGCGAGAATTCGCGAGACCGCCTGTCACTTGGGATCTCTCCGTGGTGATTTACTAACTTATGCAGCTCAGGGAAGCGATCAATATTATCTTACAGGGGGATGCGATGGAATAAATCCCTGGATAAAGAGGGAAAGAGAAATGAATGAAATCTTACTGCGTAATGAGTGGCATGGTTCCTTTTAATATGCACTCGACATGACGTATGCATTGCCTACCTGCCCAACCGCACGTAACACATTGCATATTTTATTGTTTCCAACCACATCACATCACTCATTCTCTCATACTAGTCATAGTTAGATTACACACTGTTACACAGACATGCAAATCGCATTCCTTTCCAATGGAGTTTAGAGAAAATTTGTAGATAACCTCCTTGAGATAAATATTACTGTAACGTTATAAACGTTATGCCAGTTGGTCCATCCTAATGCTTTCGAATGATCGAGAATCTAGGTCAATTTTTACTCTTTCTCGCCATTTCCCCCTCCCATGTTTGATCCATGCAACACTCTAGACAATGCCATGAAGATAAATAACTTCCGTGCCACAAGAGCAGAGGAAATATCATGTTTATTTGTCCTTGAACCCTCACGCCTGTCCGCCATGATGGATGTTCTCAGCCATGGAACGGTACGTGTGCACAGTTCGCGGTGACGTCACGGAAAGCGGGATGTTGATGTTTTGGAAGTGGGCCGCGGTGCTGATGTAAAAGTTAGCCGGTTTCTCTGTTCTCTGGCGAGCGTTAGACGCTGTTTCTGAGCTCGGGGGGCGTGTTGGGGCGTCCGGCGGTGCCTGTTGTAGGTGTTGCGGCCGTGCACGTGGCTGGAATAATGGAGGCGTGACATCATCTGTGTGCTAAGCGGGCGGGAACAATGACATGTACGCAGGGTGTTAGCTAGGTGTGAAGTCTGCCCCCCTCCCCACCGGAACGGAACCTACAACTGTCGTCTGCACGGCACAACAACAGAGGAACTACACACAACACACGCCAGGCTGCTGCAGGTAAAATCATACACCAGCTTAGCCAGAGTTCCGCCCGCCTAAAACCCCCGGGCGGAATTCGCAGGCACGCCGAATTGTTGTCATATTTCTTCTTCTTATTTGCATAAAGTTAACTCGCTGCAGAAAGTACGTGCAAAATTAGGCACCGAGAGCTAAAGACCTAAAGAGACAAATTATTCGACTCTGAAATCTGAACTGAACCAAGTGCAATCCAGCACCAAGACCACGTTTAGTGAGATATTAGAGTTAGACGTTAAGCAAGGACAACAACAACAACATGTGACATCGTTTAGCAGACAAGCTCGTATTTTAGTGACCCATTTACGTATCAGACTATGATCAGACAACATGAAAAGGGGAAGTTATGATTTTCACGTCTTGTGGTTTTCAAAGTGATAAGAACACTGAAACAGGAATATCAACTTTGTGGAATGTTTACAAATATCCAACGTTGACTTCTCAGTTTCAGATGGTTGGAAATGCTTTCTTATCTTTTTTGTCCATGATCAGTAGTTTGGGAGTTTTGACTAAAACAGTGAATTTGTAATAAAGTCATCATTTTGTGACAAAAAGATAACAAAATGAAAACAAGCAAACAAAAAAAAACAGGAACCACAACAAACTCGTATGACACTTCTAGACTATAGATACAATAACAGTAGCAGGTTGAGAGCAAATATTATTTTTAGGATGTATGATTATGTGTCTTGGTATTGGCACTCCTGGAGTTGATATAAAAGACAGACAAAATTTTTATATCCACTCTGGGAGTGTCAATAGCCACGTTCATGATTATGGAATAAGGATAATGTTTTTTTTTTTGTGAGAAAATTGCTACATACATGTGACAGTGATTCTCAGATTACATTATGAAAAGAAAGGACCTGGTTTTGCATTACAGAATATACTTTGAACAATACAGAATAAAGGCCAGTATGGAGGAATTCCTCTTTTACACCCAGTCTCAGTCTGTTGCACCAAGTTTTACAGGGTACTACCCGGTTAGGGTTCCAATCCCAGCACAGCTCCTTCAGTCCAGTCTGGCTGCGTGTGTTTTCATTTATGTTCCCCACTTGTATTGTAAACTGGGCCCACATGCCCTTCTCTGTAGAGCGTAATCAGTCATTTTACTTCCATTTAGGGCTTAGACAGCTTTTTTGGCCATTTTTCGTTGGGCTTTCTTGTCTGTACAATAATTTTTTCTTCTTCAGAGGCATATTTGATACTTCTCCGCCACTGTGCAGATACAAATGTATGTACAATGTACAAATGTACTGTCTGTAGCCACCAAAAGATCTACTTGGAGATAAGGAATACCTGCGTAACACTCTCTGTGTGTTAATCTCATGTTGAACTCAGGTTTGTTTCCTGTGTGTGCAGGGCCACTGCTGAGGTGGGATGGATGTTTGTTAGTTAGTTAGTACGTTCCTGGCCGCTGCGATGGACTGCCAGCTGCCCCACCTCCCGCTGCATTACGATGACTCGCCTGACTCTCCACCAATCGACAGGCTCACAAATGGTTACCATAGCGATGACCCCGACCATGGGAGGTCGTCGCCCGAACGTTACCTCAAGGTGTCAGACGTACATGTAAGTCTCTTACAACTTTCATCAGGAGCTTTAAGACTTTAGCAAGCTCTGTTCTTCAAGGTGTCACAAGTCAGAGTCTACATCTTAATATTCACATCTCAATGTTACGTATGTACCGTATATAATGCATGGTACATAATGCAATTTATAATTTATGATTCTGTAAGAGCAAGTTGCAAAGGTGTGTATACACCTGTTTTGCCCTCCCTTCCACTTGTGTTTCTTGTGGTAAATCAAAATAAATGAATAAATAAATAAATATATTATTGTTTGTGGGATTCAGGCAAGCGATCGATGCAATGTTTTTGTTTATTGTGTACAGAACAGCCACAGTGCGGACTCGCTGAGTCAGAGGGACTCCGGTACAAGATGGACTCTCCCGCGGCTGAAAAGCTACGATGCAGTTGTCTTCGACGCTCTCAAAGTTTCCCCGGAGGAGTTCGCTGTGAGTGGGGGGGGGGTACTGTTGTATCCAGGTTATGGTTTACGCTACTAGGAACATAGATAACAATAGAATCGTTCTGTACCTGGATGGGTTAGGGTTTGTGCACGGTTCTGGATAGTCTCATGTATCCAAAAACATAGATTTGCCCCAGGTTCTGGATATGTGTGTTCCATCAGGGATATCTAGAACTGTGCCTCAGCATGATTTTGATTACTTTAAAGTTTTAACATTAAACTGTCTATAATAGTATAAACACTCAGTGTAGCATCACCACGGTTACCATCACCATGGTTACCATCACCACAGTTACCATCACCATGGTTACCATCACCATGGTTACATGATTGTTTTTCCTTTTCTCCAGTCCCAAATCTCGCTGCTGGATCTGCCAGTCTTTAAGGCCATCAGTCCAGAGGTGAGAATCCAACTTGGTTAAACCTGACTGGTATACACCAAAAAGCTGTTACTCAAGCAACTGGATATGATTTTGGAAACGGTCAGACGTTTCAGCTAGTGTCCACTGCTTTTTGGCATATCGTATTACCTGGATGTCTGACCTTCATTGACGTACCTGACTGGTATACTTCAGTATAATATCCTCTGAATACTCCAATGTGTGTTGAAACTAACCAGGCCTACTTGCCATTATTATCTTTGATAAAATTTGTTGTTGTTGTTGTTTACTGTTTATTTTTTGTTGTTTCAGGAGCTGCTAAGCTGCGCATGGAATACGAAGGAGAAAGTGCGGCACTGTCCGAATGTTGTAAACATGACCAGGAGGTTTAACCATGTAAGTGTGGGTTACCCAGAAAGGCCTCTGTCTTGATTTGAACCGATTGTCTCAATTTTTGAGACCTTGGTTGACCTGACCTTGGTTGACCTGACCTTGGTTGACCTGACCTAGCCTGACCTGACCTTGCTTGACCTCTGCAGGTGAGTTTCTGGGTGGTGCGAGAAATCCTGACAGCGCAGACCTTAAAGATTCGAGGGGAGACGCTGAGCCACTTTATAAAGATAGCCAAGGTGAGCCACTTTATAAAGATAGCCAAGGTGAGCCACTTTATAAAGATAGCCAAGGTGAGCAAGTTTAGCAACATCATTGAATTGATGCCTTTGTTTGTTACCAAGTCATGTTTTTCTAATGTTCAACATTTGAAGTAAAAACAAGAGACTTTTTGGAGTTGATAATTCTGAAAAGTTTGGTTTGACATAGATAAATTAAAAATGGCTGTAAGGAAAGCTCTAATGTATGTTGTGTAGGTGTAACGTTATTGCCTGTAGTGTGCCTGTATCATCCTTATAACCTTCTATGTAAACTCCCTAAATCTCCTGTCTCTGTTGTTTACAGAAACTGTTTGAGTTGAACAACATCCACTCCACCATGTCGGTGGTGTCTGGACTTCGCAGCGCTCCCATCTTCAGACTCAACAAGACTTGGGCAGTAAGTATTCAGCCTGCTAGGGGGCGCTGCTAATCACACAGTTAGGCAGTAAGTACTCAGCCTGCTAGGGGGCGCTTCTAATCACACAGTTAGGCAGTAAGTACTCAGTCTGCTAGGGGGCACTTCTAATCACACAGTTAGTACTCAGCCTGCTAGGGGGTGCTTCTAATCACATAGTTAGGCAGTAAGTACTCAGCCTGCTAGGGGGCACTTCTAATCACACAGTTAGGCAGTAAGTACTCAGCCTGCTAGGGGGCGCTGCTAATCACACAGTTAGGCAGTAAGTACTCAGCCTGCTAGGGGGCGCTTCTAATCACACAGTTAGGCAGTAAGTACTCAGCCTGCTATGGGGCGCTTCTTATCACACAGTTAGGCAGTAAGTACTCAGTCTGCTAGGGGGCGCTTCTAATCACACAGTTAGGCAGTAAGTATTCAGCAGACAGTTGCTGAGTTAGGCACATAGTTACTGAGTTAGGCAGACAGGCAGATAGTTATGAAGTTAGGCAGATAGTTACTGAGTTAGGCAGATACTTACTGAGTTTGGCAGACAGTTAGGCAGATAGTTATGGAGTTAGGCACACATGCAGGGAGCAGGTGCCACATCTATAGCACACAGTTAGGCATATTATTATAGGGTAGTTCTACCCCCCTCTGTGTCCTTACAGCTCCTGTCCAGAAGAGACAAGGCAGTTTTTGACAGGTTAGCCGAGGTTCACCCCCCAAGTGTTACCCCCCTGTGCAGTACCCCCCC